CACGGGGTAGATGACTTCAATGTTGAGGTTTCCTCAAGTGAGGATGACTCTGAGAGTGTTGACGACATTCATGTTACGTTTGAGCAATTGTATGAAGATTGCCTCAAACAAAAGAATAAATTGCTTAGTTGGAGTGCGGGGCTTAATGCTAGAGAAGAAGAACATAAAGCACTTCACCCACTTAGTGAAGTCCAAAACCCAAATTTGTGGGCTTGAAGGGAATAATAAATCTCTTAGCGACTAGATGAACTTTATAGAAAGAGAGTGTCACAAGCTTGTAGAGTTAAGAAAAATAGTCTAGAATTTAAATTGATAAAACTTGATAAAGACCTTCAAGAATCACAAGAACTCTCGATAAGACTTTCCCCAGGATCAAAGAAATTTGATAAAATATTGTCTATAGGGAAGAGTGTGGTAACAAACAAGACTTAGGACACACTAGTGACCACACCACCACCACTCCTTCCAAGACCGTGTTTGTGAGGGGGACACAAACCTTCCACCTTCAATTGAAATTTCCCGTCGTACGGTTTGTTTAGGCCTCAAGCAATTATGGGTATACCAACAATCTTTGGTATGCACACATTAATGAGTTTGTTCAAGCTCTTCTACTCCAAGTTGTGGAGATGGAAAAAATCACTAGTGGTAGCCTTTGGATCTAAGGGATCTAGGTAGTGGTAGAATCTCTCAAGGTTGAAAAATAGATTTCTCTCTTCAAAATACACTCTCAAGGCTTGACCTAGATGTGGGAAAGGCACTCCCTATTTATAGGTCCAGAATAAGGATAGTATTAATAAATAAGAAAACTTAGATTCGCGAATGACCGCTCGATTGGTGGAAGGGCGGTTGTCAATAGAATGAAAACTGCATTTTAAACACGATTAAGGCAAGCACCGCTCTAGCGACCATGGAGACCGCTTGAGCGAGCTCTGTGCTATCTTCTATGATCTTTTTCCCATTTCTATTCAAAAATTTAATCCATGTGCTTAAAATGTACACTGCATTTCATTCTCTACTTCATTCTATTTCCCCATCAATTCCATTTCCACTTAAAAGGATTACTTGGTGTATACCAAAGGCAAAATTAGTTACTAATGCATAGCTATAATTTCAATGAAGGGAATTATATGATTATAGATAAAGCCAATGAACGTGGCTATACTATGTGGAATCAAATATATTCCTCAACTCTACTATGAGTTTTAGCATTAGCAGTAACAAGACTGAAACCCATACCTTGGGCAAAGTTTTTAAATAAGCATTCATTTAGAATCTCCATCGCAGCAAACAAATTGCTAGCTAATGTTGTCTCCAGTTTTCCGGTTGGTTCAGTCCCTGCAGTTCTACAACTTGCTTTGCATCCTTCGACAAATCTTTTGTAGGAAGTTAAATGCAAGGGACCCATCACTTCTCCGCGCCCTCTGCCTAATCGAATCTTTCTCGCTATACATGCCCACGATACTCATCACAATCTTTCTCGCTATCTTCATTAGAACCTTAACAAGGAGAAGGATACTACAATAACAATGCAGCCTAGTTCGTTATATACTTTGAGGACAATAAATTCAGTGCAATCCAACTCCCAAAGCACCTTGTGAACTTCTATCTAATGGTGATATAAAGTGTTAACCTCGGGTCGGGTGGGTTTCCTAAAGACACAAGAAGGTGATTGATAATAATACCTATGAACCACATTCCAACCGCCAGAAACATTGGTGTGAAGCTAGTTAGGGATAGATCTGAGCATGTTTAAAGTTTACAAGCAATTTTATCACTTAGAGAAGCTGTGAAAGTTAATAGCTTACATTGACAGGTTAAAACAGAAGTGAAAAAAAAAGTGAAACTAATCAAGTTATATTGGGTGTGAACAGACTATAAAAATTCTCAAACGAATTCTACATTTCCATGCTCCAAACAAGAACCAAAATTTTTACCAAGGTCAAGATTCACTACAAGTTGTGCAAATCATATAATTGCACTCTCGACATTCTAATCCCCAATTGTATTGGAAAGAAAGAGTAACCACACTTACGACACATGAGCTTCTAATTCTTCTTTTCAAGAAAAGTAAGGGTATGGGTGATCTTCAACTTGAACGGTGCCTCCAAACTTGATGCTCATATTGAGATTCTCAATGTATATAGGATGAAAAGACTAATCACCATCACGACAATGATAAATCCTGAACTTTGAATTTATTTTATCCTTCCAATATTCTCAGTGAAATTCATCTAAATAATTACTATAAGGAGAATAGCTCAAGGTAAGAGGGTTGTGTACAAACCAAGAATCTTGGGTGTGTCTTAAAAGATTGCTTAAAGCCTAGACAGTTCATTGAGGTGAGTGCATCCAAGTGAAACTATTTAAGACTTCAGTGAGTGAATTTGGATGAGATTGACAAGGAAGAAAGTGTCTGACTTACATCCTTGTAATTGAATTTGAGTTTAGTGAATTAGGTTAACTGAACTAAGATCAGTTCAGTGGCTTTTTTTGAGAGTATTTCCACGTAAAATTACTTGTCTTGTGGATGATCTCTTTATTGCTTTAATTTTTATACGCACATGCAATTGCACACCCACACATATGTTGTGCTTGATGGAATGACTCTTCGATTGATATATCTTGCATATTCATCAAATTGGTTGTGGATTGGTAGTTGACATATTAGAAGGTTAGATTGTTGGGCGGGTTGTTCTTGTTGAAGAAAAAGGGGTTCGAAGGCTTTGATTGACCAATTGACTAATTAATTTAGGTTTCGTTTGGTAACCTTGTGTTTTTTTTTTTTTTTTTTTCATTTTATGACTTAAAAAAAAAACCAAAAAAGCATTTGCGAATGTTTTTATTTTTTTTTAACTGCACCGTTTTGAAAACAAAGCTAAAATATGGAAACATCCAAAATAATGTTTTTGAAAACATCCAAAAAAAAAAAAAACACGGTTCAAAATGTTTCATTTAATAAGATCCTGACTTCGATCCTCCTTAGCAACAAAAAGTTAATTTTCTTGTTTTAATATAAAAAGCCCCTCTCTCTTCACTTTTTTTTTTCAAATCTCTCTCTCTCTCGCCCTTCTTTGATGGGTTTTGTTGAGGAGTTGCAGGGTTGGGTTTCGGGGGTAGTGGTGGTGTTGGGTGGTGGTGGGTTACGGGGATTGGTTGTAGGTTTTCTGAAGAGTTTCAGGGGTAGTGGGTTTCAGTGGTGGGGGTGCAGTTGGGTTTCTGTAGTTGTAATGGGTTTCAGTGGTTGTGGTAATGGATTTCAATGGTGGTTGTGGGTTGTGGGTTTCGGTGGTAGGTTTCAATGGTGATGTTGGGTGGTGGGATTTGGGGTTGGGTAGTGGTTTTGGGTGGTCAGTTGGGTTGGTTGGTGGAGTTTGGGTGGTAAATTTTTGTTATAATACTAAACAGGTTTTTTATTCTTGTTTTCACCATTTTTTTAAATATAAATGACTATCAAATATGTTTTATATTTTTAATTTTTATCACCAAAAAAATAAAAATTAGTTTTTTTTTAATAAAAAAATATAAAAACGAAAATATTACCAAACGCACTCTAATAATTGTGGTTAACAGGTTCAAATTTGGTGTTTGTTCAATTGGGACGTTAAATTAATTTATTCACCCCTCTCTAGGTCGTGTCTGTGATTTTGCGTGTATAATTGTAGGANTGGGACGTTAAATTAATTTATTCACCCCTCTCTAGGTCGTGTCTGTGATTTTGCGTGTATAATTGTAGGAAAAGATCTTTAACACTTCTCTATTTTCAATTGGTGTCAGGGCGTGGTTACCCTTGAATTGCATATAGCCACATTGTAGGCATATATTTTTATTTCTTACTTCTTGACCTAGTTGTTTAATGAATTGAAATTTATTGTGACTACCAGAACCAATGGATTCTCAAAAAGGAAAGAAGTTCAATTTCAAGGTCACCTTTGTTCGATAAGTCGAATCATACACATTGAAAGGCTCAAATGAGAATTTTTCTTAAATCAATTAACAAACAAGTGTGATTGTTGGAATAAGAGGGTTGGAATGCTCCCTACCGTAATGACTACCGAATGTGATGATTCAATTATCAGACCAAAACCCCTAGAGCCTGTGTTGGTATGTTTTTTGGGAGGGGTTTAGATTGGATTATTCAAACCCGGTTTTGACCCAAAAATGAGATTCAAAGATGGGATTCAACATTTAATGTTGTCCATACCCATGTTTGGTATACGCAGGGATATATGACTCTTATAATAATATATTTGTATATAAATGACTATTGTACTCCTTAACTAATTTGTATATATGAGATATATATAATATATAGGGGTATAAATATCATTTGCTTATTAAACCCTCAAACCCACAAATGAAACCCACCCCCCTTGGGTTTCATTAAACCCAAGTATGTGAGCTTCATGACTGGGTCGAGTTTAAAATTCTATTCATACTTCATGGTTGCTAAACATGAGTTTAAGGGGATTTACTCCCAAACCCATGTTTTTAAACCCACATACCAAACAACCCCGCAAAGACTTCGACCAAAATCGAATATGAGTCCGCCAAATGACTCAAGTCCATGGAGTCTGGTTTTCTTTCTACAAATTCACGTCTACCAGGCAAATTATAATGTCTCCCTAAACTGTTATTCTCATTCCACTTTGTTCACTTTATTATTGCTTTTCTCACATTACACCTCACCAATTTGAATTAGTTTCATACTCCACCGCATACCTATTACAAAGGCCACCACAAGTTTTAGATTCTAACACGTCGAGAGCCAATTAAAATTAAAAAGACAGCTCACTGAACCATTAACTGCGTCAATGTGAGACACACAAAATAGGATTTCCAGAGTGAAAACATCACTTGTGGAATTTCACAGACATTTGCATATTGTACAAATCGTGAAATACACAGAACTACATTACAGTTGCAGGGATACAAAGCTCTATTTGACTAGACGGTCAGGACTCGATAGTATCCCTCAATGTTTCGTCCGTCTGTCATCACTTTCACTTCCTCTTTCGTTTCTTCCGTCTATCATCACTTACTTTTTCTTCAGAGCTTGATGACCCGGATTCCGACTCTGAACTAGATGCATCTGAATCAGAAGAACCAGAACTACCAGATTCGTCATCTGACTCAGAAACAGGCTTTTGTTGTTGCATGATAAGGCGTGGCATATTTTTTAGATACTCTCTCAAGTTTTCTGTAATGCCACCAAGCCCAATAGAAGTGAAAAAGTTAATGGCAAACCGAGTGTTTTTGGGATTATCCTTCGGAAAAATTGATTCAAATGAATCTTGCATTGCAGGATCATTTAGACGCTCATTAAGCAGGCGAATCCCTAGGTGCTCTGACAATTCCTGCACCAGAAAGCATACAAAGTTGTAAGTTAACAGCTCATGGAGAACAGGGGATGATAATTGACATAAAAAGAAAAGCCTCGCGAGGTTACTTTATACATGGATGGGCAAAATTACAAACAAGGAACGCATCGTAAAAGCATCCCCCAATAAAAGAGGGGGGAGAGAGAGAGAGAAGCGCTCTACTATGATAACATGAAGGAAAAAGATGTGCAGCAATTGCAATGGCAATGACTCATCTCTTTAAAGGTATAACCCAACCAGCAGCCATTATAAAGAGCTTCTTCGGCCAAATCCATGAATAAAGCTCAAGCAAAAAAAAAATCCATGAACAAGGCTCATGTGCAACTCCTATCTTTTGCAATTCAAGGACAACCAAGGACAAAAATTTTGCACTGGATAGATATATGGAGGTGTTAGGAGTTGTAGTGTTCACGTTTCTTTTATATGTTGTAATAAGCGTACCCATGTGCGGTATACTCATCTTTTATGATCACTGCATACATATAAATGGCTGAGATTGAGAGGTAGGTTAAATAATGTTCCACGACAGTGTGAATGTGGTCTGAGAATGAAGTCTCTGCTAGATGGACAGTGCTAATGGCGCTTTAAACCATGCATATCGAGGTTGACTGTCACCTTATTTGGAGAAGGACACTAAGTGGAAATATTACGACAGTGAAGTCTGAGGATCAACTCATAGATATGTTTACAAATGCGTCAAATCGTATCGTCTGACAAGTACTTATTCCAAGCCGAGGTATATGATATGTATAACTTGAGGACCTTGTTGAGAATATTAGTTAGTCCAATTTTGCATGCTGTAATAAGTGCAGCCTCATCTTTTATGTTTATCGTACGCACAAATATGAGTCGAGGGTGAGACAGAGGTATCAAATTCATACAATTCTTCCATAATTCTTTCTATCAAAACTAAACTTGACAGGGGGCATTAAATCCTCAAGCAAGCTAAGATCATAAACAAAAAAGAGGGTTTCCAATATTGAGAGGGACAAACAATGAAAACCATATAATTAAGTTACCTGGAAGAGAATCTTAATGAAAATTCGGGAAGAAGAAGTAGTGTCCTCCTCAGTAAGACGTATATATGATAAAACATGCCAGGGAAGAGCATCAGTGCCAAGCAAGTGAGCAAAAAATTTGGCAACATTACGCAACTTATTTGTCTCAAGCCGATGAATCATCGAATATTGCTGGACAAAACATTTCTCGAAATTTTCTTGATGGACCTTGTTGATCATGCAAAATCGCTGCCCCAATAGGCCATAATACCGGAGGTAAGTTCTCTCCTGACTGCAGCATTCCAACAACATAATGCATAATTCCATCTGCATAGATAGGCCAGCTCAAACTCAATAAATTTTCAGGTTTATGTGGAGTAAGCTTGTCAAAACTGCAATTTGAATAAAGGAATAGCAGAACCTAGATGCTTAAGCCACAAAAACAAAAAGAAAATGCAAGGAACATAAAAAGACCACAGTATTTTTTATTAGGAAAATCTAAAAATGTGAGTAGTTAAGTATCAAAAGATATGTCAAATACTACTCACAGTGATTAGATTGTTTGCCCTAATAAGAAGAATCAATGAGATGAAATTTAAATTTCTACAGGACGATGATAAAAGGGTCATTACTATCCCTGCCTTGCGGCAGTCCGCTTCAGGTACGGTGCAGGCCCCAAAGCATGACACTACATATTTTTGAAATATTCTCCTGCCTTCCTATCTATTTTATTCTATACTTCGTTCAAATCATTTTTCCTTAATCCTGCCTTGAACAAAAATATTAATATATAATTCATTTAATGTTTCTTTTTCGATAAACAGTGCAGTTAATGTCTCTTTTTCAACGAATAATGCATTTAGTGTCTTATTTTTTCTTCAAAAGATTTCGCAAAAGCTGTTCTTTAGTCCTTACAACAGCTATGAATTTGGATTGCACAAGGAGTGGCATCTCATCAGTCAGCTGCAACATAAGCCTTTAAGTGAAAGACTTCTAAAAACTTTTCTCGCCCACCTTTTTTTGATATTTCAAATTTGAAATATAAATAATAATAAAATACTATTTGGACCTAATTTTCTGATCTAATCCATTACAACCATTGTATTGATAGTGAGTCCTACCAAATACTGCACCCCGCTGTCAAGCCAATGGTTATGAATCATGAAGTCAGCAGATTAGTAAATCAGGTATTAGTAGTATTGCTCAAAAACAAACATGCCCTGATAGTGCATTTAGACGTTTCACATTTTCCTTGGTCATAAAAAACAAAAGACCACAATTTCCAAAGGGTGCTGCACTTTCTAGACCTTTCCCAACCAAGCCCACCCCTTGGAAGAGATCCTTTACCACACAGAGCAATAATGTATGGTCATAGATTTCAGGTTCACCAATTGTAACCTAATAAATTTAAGATATTTCATGCTGAATGCTAATATATCAACTGCCAATGTCAGACATGCATTCACCCAACAAAATCATAGATAAATAGCAGTGTCTGCTAAATTTGCTTTGGTCGGGATCCTTATCTACAAAAGCCCTTGGTTGTAGTGCAAATACAGAAGGAAAAAATCGCAATACATACCTCCTGACCAGGCTCTAGTTTGATCTTCAATAATTTGTGACCAGCTTCCTCAAAATCAACACTCGACATAATGGTCAAATAAATAGTCCTTCGGAGATTCACAAGATTTGTCTCTGTTTCGTCCTTTATTTTCATCGTCTCTTCATCATCTTCATCCGTTTCTTCATCCTCATCATCATCATCATCGGATGCTGCATCAGAATCTGCTTCATCCTCAGATTCCTCACCCAATAGTGTCTTCTTCAATTCTTCATAACGCTTCTCATTCTCCAAAAACTGAGGATCCAGCTTGAAAATATCTGAAATTAGTCAATAAGGAACATTACAATCGAATAAGACCAAGAAGAGAACTACCAAGCAGAGGCAAAAAAGTCATAAACAAAGATAAACCTAATGCGATCTCTGAATCTATTTGATCTGAAAGAGAAACTTCATGTGTTAATTGATCTTCTTGCTCTACAAGGTCCAGTTCTGGTCGAACAGCTGGGTATCCCTGTGCAAGTAAACTTCACATAAGCAATTCCAGTTTTTAGTACTCAAATTGAAAAGACTCAAGGGTTTATGAAAAATAAATGAAACTGCACCTGAAACTTGGCTTTTCTAATTGCAAAAAGGCCTTCTATCAAAAACTGAACTCGTTTATCAATTTCTCCTTCGTGAAGAATTCCGCGAAAACGCTCAAATATACCTGTATAAATTGACAACAAAAAACACAATATCGTCAAACAAAAAGAAAATGAATGCAAAGTGTGGAGATCATGGTAAGCAGCAAATTTTTAGGGCCCACATCTGACAGAAAGAAGATACAGCATTTGTCATAAACTCAACAGAATAGCAAAACCCCATGAATAGAACCTATTTCATCAATATGTTTTGTGGATCTTGGAGGTTTAGGAGGAGGGAAAGGGGAGACATTATGACATTGCGCTTTATTTGCTATTGTTTGGGTTGTTTGGATGGAAAGAAATACGAGACTTTTTGAAGATTGGGCAGAAGTGATGGAAGGATTATGGGAGAGGATTGATTTTTTAGCTTCTTTATGGGCCTCGGTGACTAAGGAGTTCGAAGATGTCCCTTTATATTGTATCACTTCCAATTGAACAGCTTCCTGCCATTGATTGGGGCGGTGGTGTTTTCTTTTCTGTTGTTGGCCAGTTTGCTGGTTTGTTTCTTAGGCTGGACTTCTTGTCCAACTTCTTTTTAGATTGTAATGCTTCCTTTGTCTTATTAATAAAATGTTTGTTTCCTATCAAAAAAAAAAAAAACCTATGTGGCAAGAAAAAAATATAAATATAGCAATCACTATGATTGACAAACTTGAGATGGCAGCAATATAGAATTTCACAGATACCTTAACAGTATCAGGAATCTTGTGTCAGATTAGTATCACCTATGAAGCATGGATACTTCGACCAAAATAGCTGTATCCAATATCTATTAGTGGTTGTGGAGGTGTGGGCACTTATTTTCACATTATAAGGCTTGGGTTATGCCAACATAAGTGGCGGACTTGTTGAACTGTTGGAGAAGGGGAAGTGGTAGGAGGAGAAGTTTGGAGATTGGGGTAGTGGCTCCCTACTATCTATGTTGGTTCCAGTTCCAAAAATCCCAAGCCACCATATCATAAGCTTTCACAAACGCAACCTTGAACATAAATCATTCTTTCTTCTTCTCTCTGTTCCCTTCAACAATCTCATTTGCAACAAGCACCACATCCAAGATTGGCCTTTCCTCGAACAAAGGCACCTTAGGAACACGAGATACTCTCATGAAAAACTTCTTGGATTCTCCTATAAAGGACTTTGGCCAAAATTTTATTAAGGATAGAAACTAAACTAATTGGCCGAAAATCTTTAACCAAAGAAGACCTCTCCTTCTTAGGAAAATAAAGGTGGCATGGTAAAAGAGTTAACAACCCCATTCTCAAAGAACTCCTATATAAAAAATTTCCCTTTGTCACAACCCAACACATCTGAAGAATGAGCCAAGTAAAGCCATCCGGACCGAGTATTAATCACCACTTAGCTCAAAGACTGCAAATCTAATTTCATATTCCTTATAAGATCTCTCATGCCATCTAGAAGTACTCTCACCAATAGGACATCAATCCAAACCTTCAACACAAGGTCTAGCAATACCCTCAGATGAATTAACTTAGAGAAATAGTTAACAATCTCAGAAATAACACAATTGTCACTACCAATCACATCTCCAGATTCAATCTCAATGCTAATAATGAATTTCTTCTTCTATTTGCCATTATCAACTCTATGAAACCGTTTGGAGCATAGATATCAAGATCATAGACACCCCAAGTGTCCCGCAAACCGACATTGCACAACTGGAATAGAGTGGCTTTGCGATCCACATTTGCCCAAATTCTCAACCCAAAATTGTAATTCAAATCCTAACTCAATCCATGATCCAAGCAATCCCAATATAACCTTTAATGGGTTTTTTTTTTGATTTAATGTGATTTGAGATTTTTGGCATAATACAAATATGTAATGGCTAGCTTTATTATTTAAAACCATTAGCCAACACGTCTTGAATTATAATTCGTTTTGGAATTTTATCAAAAATATAAAATGAATATTAGATTTATTATATATCTAAATATATCTAGATAATATTACAGTCTGAAAGTTGAATTCTCAACTAATAAAAACACAACGGTCATGATTTATCTAATTTTTATCCACTTTGATCCAATAATACAAAAACTCATTCCAAAATTTTTTTTACCGCTCAAAAATATTAACTCAATCAACACACTCTCCAATGTGAGACAAACTCACTAATCCACACTTACTTCTCTCTCTTCTCTCTCTCTCTTATTTTCTCTGTATTCACTTTAATTTTAATCTACATAATTAAAGAAAAGAAAAAAAATTGTTATTTATAATGTAAATATTACAAGATCAGTACTCGATTTTTTGTATTATAAAATGTCTTCTCACATGGGGTTGTTGGTAATAGTTGTATAAGTATCTTATCATTGCGAAAGTGATTCAGATAACCGTTACAAAACAAACCACGATCCAAAGTAGCATACTAACTCTACCTTGATCGCATCATGTCCTACACAATAAAACAAACGAGGATCAAATAATTAAATTGTTTTAGATTTTTTGTCCTATCACTCAATTCTCTCACCTTTTCATACTCTTCTCTCTATCTCTCTCTTCACACACAACTGGCCCATTCGACACTTTCATTTTTTTATCTTCTCACACACAACAACAGTGTTCTTTGCAACCAATAAAATGATGACAACTCATCAATTGATCAAGAAAACAAGTAAAACTATTCCCACAACAGCAGCACCAGTGAACAATCGACCAATATCCACCTCTTCACTTCTCCTCTCTCCAATCAAAAAAACAAAAAACACAAATTTTTTGCCCCATTTAGAAGCAATCACACTTTTGGCCTAGATTAGATTGAAATTTTTTTTGCAAACAACACAATGTGGGCATAACATCCCGAAAGAATAGATGTCTCAGCTGTACAAAATAATCATTTCTCTTCTCTACTTTTTGACCCAAATCATGGAACAAATCTATGAAAATTTGTTCTTCTCTCTCTGTCTCCCTCTTTTTGTCCTTCCCTAAAGATAGATTGGTGAGGGATGAGGCATGGCCTCTATTTTCTCTCAATATTTTCTCCTATATATGACAGAGAAGTTGCCATTAGTAATGACGAGAAATTTGGAAACCATGGGATGAAATCGACTATGAAATACACAAACCCACCACGTTCAACAACCAAATCCCCCAAAATCCACCACCACCCTCACATACCACCGCTACCCCCACTGCCATGGAACCTCTATGTCACGCCCCAAATTTCACAAAAACACGAATAAAAAAAATTACTTTGTTTATTCCAAAAACACATGTCGGTTTGTTGTAAAAACATCTAAAAACTTATCTCTTTAGTTTAAATAAATCTTTTTTTAAAAATCGAGCATTTAGATAATTGGTGAGAACATTAAACATAATAATTATACCTAACTAGTCATTTGTATCATATAAATCATACATCCTTTCGCATGATATCCACAAATAAGTCATTATCGTTCAACACCGGAGACACAAATGGAGGCCTACGAAGTCCTCCCAAACCCAAGTTATAATTTAATTATCCAAAATTTTTCATCATGAACATAATATACAAAATATCTAAAATCTTTATAAGTAAACCATTTAAAAGGTCCCAATCTATAAATATTCTCTCAAATTAACCAAGATATAAATCACTTACAAATCCTCAATAATATATATCATCGTACGTTGTTGTTTATATACTCTAACTAAATATATAAAAATCATAACTATCTTCTATCTCGATATTCTTACTATGCAGTCCACCAACATATGTCCATAACTGAAAATATTAAAAGATACGCGTGAACAACCACACACTCAGTAGAATAATCCTTTTCTCAAGCATATACAATGTTTTAAATACCAACATTTCACAATCATAATTATAGGTAATGAAATAATTTATCAATAAGTTTAAGTACTCGATAAGTAGTAAACATTTTTAAAAATACACTACGTACTATAACCATTCATCCCGCCAGACTCACCATTATTGATTTCTCCATCCAAAATAGGTTAGTTTAACAGACAAAGCTCCCTAAAAACAGCAATATCTCCATACTTAAATACTGCAGATTTTGCTCAATAATTTTGACATTCACCAAATCTCCTAACAAGACAGTATCATGCAAGACAATAGGTAGGTGAATAACGTTTTTGTGACAAATCCAATTTCAGAAAATATTGGGATTCACAAGACAAGGATGTAGACCAAAGTTACCTAGATCGTAGGTCGCTTGAGCACGTGGTACGATAGGGATAGGCTTAACTAGTAAGTTATTTTGGGCAGTAATTCATTTTAGAACTCTTATCTAGATTATTTTTACTACTATACCAATGTTATTTAAGGCGTAAAGCGAATCGAAGCAAACCGGTCTCCCGAGGGCCTAGGCAAGAAGCGAAGCAAGCGCTTCATTGAAGCAAAGCGAACAATATAAGAAATAAGCATATATTTTAGTTTCATACTTTGATTACTCCTAAATATTCAAATTTTAACTTTACAAATATCAAATATTTAAATGCAATCAAAATAATAAACATCAACATATTTTAAATAGACAAGATATTAAATATTGAACATTATTGTATTCTAAAAATAATCAATTGACATAATCACGTCATCTAAATATAAAGTTAGCAAATGTGGGTTCGACTTCCACCGTAATTGATTAATATCACCACCAAATAAAGCATTCATAAATTGATTAATTAAATAGAGCATATAGCAAATTGATTAATTAATTTGATTAACCAAGCAAATTGATTAACATGAGCAATCACATAAATACAAAGCATTCAACATTATCTAATCATAATAAGACAAATTGTCATATGATACTGTTACACGAATCAATCAATTTATTTTATACATATATTTATATAACATCATCTCTGCTAGCATTTGGTTGTTAATGTTAAAGAAGAAGAAGGAAGAGGAGGAGGAGGAGAAAATAAAAAAAACGCTTTTCTCGCCTGGCTCGCTTCGTCGCCTAAGCTCGTTTTTTCCTCGCTTCGCCTTGAATGTCCAAGGTAACCAAGGCTCGTTTCACTTCGCTTCACACCTAAGCTCGCTTTTCACAACGCTGTACTATACAATATTATATGTTATAGAACATCCGTAACCAAAAAGTCAGTTACCATTTATCTTATATTTGTCCTTGATTTTCTATTATCTAAAATCATTAATAATTATAAATCTATATACATGTAGTCAATTAATATGTATTTTATGTTTGTGCTACATATTCGAATGCGAATTGATTTAGTGTTAGTATTACAATTTAGGGTCGTACATTTTGGTGATCTGTATCGTGAACCCACCCTGTTTGGGATTGATGTACCTAGATTGTGAGTTGTTACGGGTTTAATAAATTCTCTGATAACCAAGATATACACACGGGGGATAAGCTTGATGAAAGAGATACGAAAAAGGCTTTGAAATCATGAAATGTTGAGACTCACAATAACATTCCCCACCCCTTTTCCAAACCGACCACCCCAACATTAACTCCACAATTTGACTCAGTAAGGCACTGAATAAAGGTACAAGAATCTGCAAAAGAAGATTGAGAATCAAAACTCCACCGGTGAAACTTACCAATCAACCAAATCCACAATCTTTTTTTCAAACAAATTTCCTAGAATTCTATGGGAAAAATAAAGTGTCTTTGAATACCTGAACCTGTCCCTCTAAATCTACATCAAAGAACTTACCAAAATCTTTGAATCTAAGAAAGTCAATGAATCCAAAATCTCCTTTGAAACCGACCCAAACTCATTCGTTTCGTCTAGCCATTAGAAACTTTATTCACATAAAAATACCTTGATCAATATCTATTACCCTAGTAAACCTTTGAAAATGGGTAGCTCTCTCCTAGAACACTCCTCAAAATCCACTTAAATGGCTTAATTAGAGATCACATAACTTTTGCCTTTATCTCAATGTTTTTAAAACCCTTTGGTCACTAAGTTCCCTTGCCCTCCAATCTACATCAAAGAACTTACCAAAATCTTTAAATCCGAGATAGTCAATGAATGTGAAATCTTCTCTGAATCCAACCCAAACTCATTCAATTCGTCTAACCATTAGAAACTTTATTCACATAAAAATAACTTGATCAATATCTATCACCCTAGTAAACCTTTGAAAAAGGGTAGCTCTCTCCTAGAACACAACTCAAAATCTACTTCAACAGATTAATTAGAGATCACATAACTTTTGCCTTTATCTCAATTTTTTTAAAACCCTTTGGTCACTAAGTTCCCTTGGCATATTCCTTCACCGCCATCTTGCACATTTTGTTTGACTACAGCATGTCTCACTTCCCTCGGAAAAATCTCCCCAATTGTCATATAGATTTCCCCTCACATTAAATAATAGGTTTTTGATGGTGTTCCAGCAATGAATCTCTCAAAGTAAGATGGATATGTGCCTGTGGATTAGCTTCCCTGATGAATACTGTTAAATGGAGGTGCTCAAAAGGTTCCCATTCACAAATTACACCAAAAAAGGAGAAAAACAGCCCTATTACAATAAAAGAACAAGGTAAACAACCAAACATTTCATAGCACCACAATTCAGATAAATAGATAGATAGAAAAACCATAACACGTAACAAATATCTGAGACTTATTGTGCACTCACCATGTAAGCCTCGGGGACAGAGATCTTGAAGCATTGATCCACATTCAGTAACGAAACCAACTGCAACTTCCACACTATCATCAGTGGGATTCTCTAAGAGAATCGTTAGTAGCTCTAGAGCAATAAGCTCATGAACCACCTGCTGATTTACAAGATGGGCAATGAATTTTACAACTGCCAGCAATTGTGGCTGTCAAACACACAATACCCAACAAATAAATTCAATCAAAACCAAATGAAAAACAATATGAACATGTAACGACAAAAGGGTAGTTGGGAACTATGAACAAACACCTTGTCATTCCGTTTATAGGCTCTTTGTAGCTGCAAAATAATCCTCCTAAGCAGAAGATCTCCTACTTCAGGGAATTTGGTATTCACAACAGCAACCAAAGCTGCAAATACATCGGTGAAACCAGGAGAAGCCATCTGGGACTTCATACAAGACCGACAAAAGAGACCCCTTCCACGAATCAGATTCTCAGCAAACAGCTCCGGAATGATGTTCTTGACATTCATAGCATTCACCTTATTGACAAGCCCATTTATACTCTTCCTCAGAGCATCCCAAGTCATGCGCTGGTACTCCACACTGCTCTTGTCTTGGATTTCCTTCATCATCCGTGCCAATTTGAATGGCGGAATATAAACTCCCCCACTCCTCCCCAAATTCGCCATAGTCATATTCTTCAAATTCCCTTCTTCCACTTTTTGCGACTTGGGATCTTCAGTCACCTTCCCTTCCGATCTGGACCTCATAGCCGGCTCAACAGTAGAGTCAAAAAAGCATGGGCATTAGGCCCTACATATTAAAAAGGCCCCAAATTTTAGAGTTCAATAATGACATATAGATCAAAAATTAAAACTCATTATAATTCAACTTAAGAAAAAAACTTCTGAAAGTAAGGGTGTTCAGCCGACCCAACAGATAGGAATTATGGTATTTCATCGTTTTATCCGATGCTTTGCGGATGGCCAATTTCTTGACCGACCCTACCCANACATAACAGCTAGACTCACGTAACAGTTAGACTCACAACAAATTAATTTATAACTCTTTCAAATAATAAAAACATACTAGGGTTAATTGTAAATAATAATTAGTCGCATTTAAGATAAAAAATTTTAATTATTATTTTTTTGTTAATTTTATGTATATCGATTTTTAATCTTCTACATTTAAAAAGTATTAAATATAATTTTAATAAATATAAATTTACGAACTTTTACGATCTATTAAAAAAAATTAAAATATACTAATGTGTGTGCCCTAAAAAAAGNATGTTTGCAGAGACACAATCGGCTAGAAAATCGGGTAAAACACATATTTGCAATTTCTGTTAAACACATTTGCAATCGGATAAAACACATGTTTGCAGAGACAGAAAAACACAATACAGACAACAGAAAACAGAAGCAGAAACAGACACAGAAAACAGAAGCGGAAGAAGAAGCAGAAACAGAAAACAGAAGCAGAATCAGAAGAACTGAAGAAGAAGCAGAAATAGAAATCGGAAACATAAGCAGAAACAGATTCACTCTAGCAACAAAGCAGCAATTAAAAACAGCAACAAAGCGGCAAAAAATTATATAGATCAAAGATCAAATATATCTCAACATACAGTGATACAGAGAAGCACAAACACATCAAAATTTTCTAAAAAAAGAATAACTAATTAATCTCATATCAAGACTTAGGAAACACAAATAGACTACTCATCACTTCTCCCAATTCCAGATATTGTTGTAATCATTTTCTCATCATATGATTTCAATTTCAGAAAATCAAAAGGAATTAAGACTTACACATACTGCCATAGAGAGAGTCAGAGAGGATAGGAGAGCGAGAGAGAGAGAGAGAACCTGGCTTGTGGCTTCGAAGAGAAGGCGGCGAGAGCGGCTAGAGTCTCTGAGACTCGAAGAGGAGGAGGCGCTAGGGATCGATCAACCGAGAGAAGCAGAAAGAGGCGAGAATCCGTGAGACTCGAAAAGGCGGCCCACGGATTTTAGAGTTTTTTGTGCACACATTAACAAATGGAAAAAATTACATTTCAGACCCCTCAAAACTTGTCACTTAATCACTCATACCCCTAATATTTAAAATATTATACACAAACCCTTTAAAATTTGTACGCGCGTAACATAACAGTTAGACTCACGTAACAGTTAGACTCACAACAAATTAATTTATAACTCTTTCAAATAATAAAAACATACTAGGGTTAATTGTAAATAATAATTAGTCGCATTTAAGATAAAAAATTTTAATTATTATTTTTTTGTTAATTTTATGTATATCGATTTTTAATCTTCTACATTTAAAAAGTATTAAATATAATTTTAATAAATATAAATTTACGAACTTTTACGATCTATTAAAAAAAATTAAAATATACTAATGTGTGTGCCCTAAAAAAAGTTTTTAACTTAATCCCTTATCACAGCACAAAAGAAGTGGGCCCATTGAAGTGAATAAAAGATAACTCCAAATTCAAAAAATTTTTGAAGCTTTGACTTTCTTCTCCGATTGTTCGTCTTACATTGCCGCCCCATTTCTCAAATTTTGAGTCAAATTATAATAATTAGTTTCACATTGTCAATATTAAAGACGTGCATTCTAGAATGTTTATGGACATATTTTGTATAATACATGACAGATGTCTAAATTTAGGATAATACGAAATCAATTTTAGTAGATAAGAGAATGATATAAAAAACTCAACAGCTGATAGGACAAAGTTAGATCAATGTTATGGTGAATTATACTTTAATTACCCCAATTATGACATTTTTCTCGTATTATTCTCACGGTTATCATATTTTTCACATCACATCTTCAACCATATTATTAGTCTCACATTGCCCCAAGGACTAATGTCTGCCATAAATTTGACTAAAATTATTTCATTTTGTCCTCCAAATTTTGTGGATTTGTTTCATTTTGTCCCTACATGTTATCCAAAAGATTATGGACATTTGTATTCGTAGCAATGTGAATTTAATTCAAGTAATTGAGGGGATAATGTGAAGAAATCAATAGTTCAAGGGTAGTCAAAATGTAATTTGTCCTCTAATTTTTCATTTTCTAAGATTTCACGGGTAGCTATCAGAGAATATGGTTTTTGTATTTTAAACTGCATTTCGCAACAAAAGAACTTGTAACTGCCACAAATCATCCACGTTTCAAACCCGCAATGGAAATACTATTTTCCTACTTTGTATTGAACTTTGGTGGTATGTGCATGCTCTTAAAAACTTTCAAAAGAAAAAAAAGTGGGGCAAAATGGCTACATTTTCTAATTAATTAAGGAATGTTTTAGACATGACCTGATGCCGGGTCTGTTCACTTTTGCAGTAGTTTGTTTGTAGAAATTTGATTTAACTAAAAAAGCTGGCCAACGCTCGCATCATTTATGATATATTTATTACTATATGTACTAGGGTGCACTCCATGCTATCTACGAAATTTACAAGGATAAATTTAATTTACACCCCATAAAATCTAGTTGATGGGCCTCTTCAAACAAAAGATAGATCAGGTGATACGTGTCTTCGGCGCCGAAAAACACTCATTGACTCTGTCGAGGCCACGTGTCCTTTACCACCTCTGTAAGATATGTCCCTCGGCGTCGAGGTGCATTAATGCCCTTGGCAACGAGCGCCCCTCGGCTCTGAGTCTACCTCCACCCTAAGGCAGGCATATGTCCTCGACTCCAGAGATATCTACTGGAGCTCTGATTTGCCACGTGTCTCCTACTCATGTAGAGCCTACTAAGTTGACAGTTGACTAGTCATAACTAAAATAGGGATGATGATGGCGCTCTGCACAAAAGGATCAGGATGGCAGAACCAACAAGACACTCCATCAATAGGAGATCGATACGTGGCATGAGGGTACAGGATCAGGGGTAAGAAGACAGAACTACCCTTACTAATATGCAACTATCAGAGACAGGCATTTAATGAATCCTCAGTTGATAAGATGTCTACCATGGCCTAATAAGCCGAGGAGTAAAAACATTAAATACTAAGGGATCCAAGCATTTAATGTCTCTACATTGAAGAAAGAACATTAAGTGTTCGTCCGGTCGAGCAATCAATACTGGGACATTCCCTATGAAAAGTAGGAGGCACACTATCCCATCTCTGAGGACTACCTATTGCCTAGACTATCAGTAATGATGAGTCTTTTAAGGTATAAAATAGTCCTCAAAAATGCATTACAAAGGTACGCAAAATTACCTCTCAAGAGCCATAATCGTATTTTCTTCTTCCCCTCTCTCAAAGAACTGACTTGATCATCGGAGGGTATACGCCAAAAAATACTCTGACGCCCTCCTAACCTATTTTCTGTGTTCTAGGAATCCCTTGTAAGCCTTCAGAACCAGTTCAGCGGTCCCAGGAACAATTCATCATCACTCCTTAGGCCACCTTTGGTCCTCTCAACTCATTCCTTGCTGTCGGATCCACCGTCCTGATGGGTTGGAGCTCCCTGTGGGAGAGATCTATTTCCGTTTCATCTATTGTGCGAAAAGTGCCCCGCACAATCTGGCATCGTCTGTGAAAAATGACTAGATTTTCTAAAGAACAGTGATCATTGTGAATACTCGACAAAAGGGGAAGAGTCCTTAACAAAGGAATACCGATTTACCAACCCCCCCTTATTCAAAAACAAGGAACTACGTCGAAAGTCCCAACAAAGGGCACCTTTCATACAAGGGAGCAAATTCATCAAACTAGTATGGGTATCGAGTCTGGAGGGTCCGCTCCACTGGCCCATCAACTAGTTGAGGTGATTGAAGAGAAGTTTGGGGACCAGTTACGGCAACTGGAGAAGGACAACGTGAATGTCCTCAATCGCCTCGACGAGTTTGCAGCCTCCGACGGAGGATTGCAAAATTCGGTCAGGTCCCGGGAGCCTTCCATTAGAGAAGTATAACCTGAGGATCTGAGAAATCGCTTGAGCAATAGGGCAGGAAGCTCCAGGGCTCCAAAACGCCCAAGGGACAGCTCCCAGAGATTCCTGCCGAGGAGGGATCAACCCTCTCTGTTCGGCACGAGAAGAGGGATCACACTATCAAGCACCAAGCACACAAAAATGTGTTCCTCAAGCAAGGAGACCTCAGAGCTCAACTGGACTCCAGGAAAAGAAAGAAGACCCCGCAGGAGGACGATACCGACAATGAAGCCATCCAATCACCTTTCACAAAGAACATAACGGAGATAGAGGTACTCAAGAAGTTTACAGTGCCAAGGTTCAAGGTCTATGATGGATAATCCAATCCAGAAGCCCACCTTAGGCAGTACAAACAAATGATGTTCCTATACCACTCGGATTACCGATTACTATGTCGGGTATTCTCAATGAGCCTAGGGGACTCCGCCATGAAGTGGTTCGAAACCCTTCCGCCCAATAACATAGGGTCTTGGAAGGAGCTCACTAGATAATTTTTTGCCCGCTTCATCATGGGGAATAGGCGACCCAAAGATGTTAGATCACTGTTGAACTTGAGGCAGAAGGAAGGGGAGACCCTTCGCCAATATACAACTTGCTATTGGGAGGAGGTGAACGAGGTAGAGGGATGTTCTGAAGTCATGGCAGTAGCCTCTTTCAAGCTCGGCCTCTCTCGTGACACCGATCTCTACCGATCCTTGACCAAGAAAACTCCGGCTAATATGGGAGAGCTGATGGTCCGAATAAATAAGTATTCTTGAATTGAGGACAAGATGGTGGGGGCAAGGGAAAAACTTTGGACACC